CAATGTCTCTTTTATTTATATATATATATATATATATATATATATATATATATAATTTACTTAAAAACATTTTTGTGGACAGTGCAATTATTGTAATTGCTTGGTCAGATCAGTTAAAAAAATATACATCTGGTTCCAACATAAAGGAAGATGTAAACTAAAAAAAAAGTATTGCAATCAATTTACTACATGTTAAATTAACTGCCACTGAACAAAAACTGGATTTGGTTCTTTTCATCAACCTTTGAATTTTGAACTAATTTTCAAGCATCTTTGTGAGAATCTGTGACATACTGTAACAACAGTTGATACTGTAGTTAAATAACTTGGTCTTCAGTTTTGAAAAACAAAAGAGAATGTGTGCGCAAGTAATGCTTTCTTATTACGTCAGTGGGAAAAGTCTATTGCATCATTTAAAGACTGAAATGTGAAATTCATATTAATTATGCAGTATGTCACACATCCAGTCCACAGAGCTTGCATTTACAGTTGTATTTAAAGGAACAGTTCCCCTAAAAATTAAAATTCTGCATTCATTTAAACCTTTTTTTTTAATCTGCAGAACACAAAAGAAAATATTCTGCACTAAACCCCATTGACTGTCACTGTATGGACCAAAAAATAAATAAATCTAAATATCTTTTGTTCTGGCATAATGATGACAAATTCCTTTAGGGCAATTCACTGCTGGAAATATGGGGTTTTAATAAAAACTCTCTGTCTATGCAGGAAAATAATTTTTTTAAATTTGTGATACATGACTCAAGAAAACAGGGGGAAAAAAAGGAAAACTTCGACACCCATAATGCACTGGGTTCAATCCGACTATCTACGTTTTCTTAGAAGTTTTCTCAAAAGCCCTGGAACTGTCAAAAGTCCGCTGGATGACGTGTTTTTGAACTTCATACTATCAGGTAAGGCATGTTTAAGATGGCATAAGCAACATTGTGTTATTATTGCAATCAAACTAAAGATGAGTGGTTGAACAAAAGAGACTACGGTTGCATAAATATTATTCAACAAGTTGAATAATGCTTATTTGCTTATACTTTGAATTTTTTTTTTTTAAAAAGCACTAAAAAGCTGAACCACAGTGATTCAATGCATATGAAGAGTGAGGCTGAGGTTATACGGACTTGAGTTTGTGCAGATCGTCGATGGCCCGGGCCAGAGCTTCCTCAGCTCTCTGAGCTCTGTCTTCAGCCTGTCTGGCTCTCTGAAGCAGAAGAGACACCTGATCACCAGCCGCAGCGCTCAACGTCACAGCTGTGGCCTCGCTCAACTCTTCAACATCTGACAAAATGTAAACCAGTAGCACAAAATTGTTTCAAACATGTAAGAAAGATTACCACATTCAAAAGTCAGTAAGTTTTTTAAATAAACCTATTAATGCAATGATGCATTAAACTGATCAAAAGTGACAGTAAAACATTTACAATGTTGGAAAAGATTTCGATTTCAAATACATTTTGTCATGAATTTTCTATTTTTCAAATAATCCTGAAAAAAAAAAAACAATCACCGTTTACACACAGAATTTCAGCAGCACAATATTGACCACAATAAGAAAAACCAGCAAGCATATTAGAATGATTTCTGAAGGATCATGTGACTATGGATCATGTAAAATAGAAAACAGCAGGAATTTGTCCTTATAAATGAGACAAAAAACAATGATTCTCATACCTATCTGCAATAATGGGTCATCTGGTAAAGCTGGTTTCATATATTCATCACTGTCCCATGGCAATGGACCATTTGAAGTCAGTAGCAAACTCTCTGCAGAGACTTTCTATAAATATATACAGATTAGTCAGGCATCAAGTCATCTTATCGCAAATATACACTTGAACTGTGTGTGTTAAAAGGATACTTACTGTAGTTCTAATGTAGTTTATCATCTTTATGTAGCCATAGTCATCAAGCCCTAAAGAGAAATGAAACCAGATTTGTATTTCGAGACATCAGGTATCACTCAACACACTGAGCAGTCCTTGTTTGGAAAACTTACTGTGTTTTTGGACAAGATCTGGAATATCCACACCATGGTCTGCCTTACAGTGTTGTACCGTTTCAGACACAGAGGTGAGAGTCCTGTTTAAAGTGAGACACATATACTTGAGTGCAAAACAAACCCTTTGTTCTTAAAGGATCGGTTCAACCAAAAATACTTTTTTCAGAACACAGATTTGGGAAAAAAAAGAAGTACAGATACACCTAGACTCCTGATCTGCTCATGTACAAATTAAGGCTTTTAGTTTTGCGAGTCATAGTTTTCTGTTCAGTTCTGACACACAAAATCAAAGCCTTGCTACTTTTAAATAAATAATCGAAGTTCAGATCAGGGTTATTTACTGTAAACTAAAAGTATAAAATAGTTTAAGTTTAAAACGATTAAAAGATTTCTTGTTAATGGAAATAAAACTGAAATAAAATAAAAATACTGAAGTAAATATTGAATATAATAATATATATAATTCAATATAATATTGAAACTATTGCAATGCTCTCTTGGCAGGTCTTCCAGCCACTTCTATCAAACCTCTACAATTAATCCAAAATGCCGCTGCAAGATTAATCTTTAATGAGCTGAAAAGAACGCATATCACACCTCTGTTCATCAATTTACACTGGCTACCAGTAGCTGCTCGCATTAAATTCAAGGCATTAATGTTTGCCTACAAAACCACCACTGGCTCTGCACCCATTTACCTAAATTCATTACTTCAGAGTTATGTGCCCTCTAGAAGCTTGCGTTCTGCAAATGAACGCCGTATTATTGATCCATCTCAAAGAGGCACAAAATCACTTTCACAGACTTTTTCATTAATTGTTCCCTCCTGGTGGAATGACCTGCCCAAATCAATCCGAGCAGCTGAGTCCTTAACCATCTTCAAGAAATGACTAAAAACACATCTGTTCCACCTTTATTTGACTCTCTAACTCTAACACTCTCTATTATATTTTAATTCTACTTTATATTTATCTTTTTTATTTTAAAAAACAAAGCAAAAAGGACATAATTATGGATTATAATGACTTATACTGTCTTTTTTATGCATTGCATTGCGCCGCGCCACGTAAACATAAAACCTTGTCTGCATTTGGGATCGGAGAAATGACAAACAACAAGCCCTACTCTACACTGCCCAAAAAACTTGCTTTAAATATAAAAACTCTTTAAATATAAAAAAACATACTTACAGTCCGTGAGTCAGAACAGCCGGCATTGTAGTCTACTCTACCAGGATCAGGAAACGGTCGTCCATAAAATGTGCTGCACACATCTGAATATTTGGCTTGAAGTGTTCTGGAACAGTGTTGTAATTACAACTTAACCACTGATTTCTAGCCGTGTCCATTTTTGGAAGGCCAAACAAAGTAGTTTCGCTTTCACAACGAAACACAGCATCACACACAGCGGCCTAAAGTGAGCAGAGGCGGCAGGTTTGAGAACTACGCGTCCGGTGTTGTGCCGAATTCTGCACCTCTGCCAGATTATGCACCCCCTCGTTGAAGTCGCTACCTGGGGGAATCCCAACCCCACCCCTAATCCTAACCCCTCGCCCACACCTACTCCTAAACCTACCAATACTAGGGGATGCATAATCTGGCAGGGTGCAAATTTCGGCACTACTTTGGTGGATTCGACGAAGGAGCGTCCAGAGGGCTTGCGGCAACCACATGTGACGACCCCGGGCTGGACTCCACGGTGAAAGCCGATCCGGCGATCCACAGCGCAAAGTTGATGTATTTCCTCAGCGACCAGCACGGATCAGCTCCATCCTGGTGGAATGACCTGCCCAAATCAATCCGAGCAGCTGAGTCCTTAACCATCTTCAAGAAATGACTAAAAACACATCTGTTCCACCTTTATTTGACTCTCTAACTCTAACACTCTCTATTATATTTTAATTCTACTTTATATTTATCTTTTTTATTTTAAAAAACAAAGCAAAAAACAAACAAACACTAGCTTTCTATTTTTTCTATTCTATCTACTTGTTTTTCTTTGTGTGTGTGTGTATAATTTAAAAAATATATATATATATATATGTATGTGTGTATATATACCTTGCTACGTGTACTGCGTTAGGCTAACCAAGACTTGTCATTTGCACTTATATATTGTTGCTCTTTTGTTAGTTTTGACTGCTTTTATTGTCCTCATTTGTAAGTCGCTTTGGATAAAAGTGTCTGCTAAATGACTAAATGTAAATGTAAATACTTAAAGGGGTCATATGATGTTGCTAAAAAGAACATTATTTTGTGTATTTAGTGTAATGAAATGTGTTTATGCGGTTTAAGGTTCAAAAAACACATTATTTTCCACATACTGTACATTATTGTTTCTCCTCTATGCCCCGCCTTTCTGCGTCGATTTTTACAAAGCTCATCGGTCTGAAAAGCGAGGTGTGCTGTGATTGGCAAGCTATCCAGTGCGTTATGATTGGCCGAATACCTCAGGCGTGTGACGGAAATGTTATGCTTCTACCATATTGTGATGATGCCCTGTCAGGCCGGAGCGATGATTCAAAAACATGAAAACCCATTATAAAAGAGGCATTCATTGCATCCAGTGGGGACATAATTATGGATTATAATGACTTATACTGTCTTTTTTATGCATTGCATTGCGCCGCGCCACGTAAACATAAAACCTTGTCTGCATTTGGGATCGGAGAAATGACAAACAACAAGCCCTACTCTACACTGCCCAAAAAACTTGCTTTAAATATAAAAACTCTTTAAATATAAAAAAACATACTTACAGTCCGTGAGTCAGAACAGCCGGCATTGTAGTCTACTCTACCAGGATCAGGAAACGGTCGTCCATAAAATGTGCTGCACACATCTGAATATTTGGCTTGAAGTGTTCTGGAACAGTGTTGTAATTACAACTTAACCACTGATTTCTAGCCGTGTCCATTTTTGGAAGGCCAAACAAAGTAGTTTCGCTTTCACAACGAAACACAGCATCACACACAGCGGCCTAAAGTGAGCAGAGGCGGCAGGTTTGAGAACTACGCGGCCGGTGTTGTGCCGAATTCTGCACCTCTGCCAGATTATGCACCCCCTCGTTGAAGTCGCTACCTGGGGGAATCCCAACCCCACCCCTAATCCTAACCCCTCGCCCACACCTACTCCTAAACCTACCAATACTAGGGGATGCATAATCTGGCAGGGTGCAAATTTCGGCACTACTTTGGTGGATTCGACGAAGGAGCGTCCAGAGGGCTTGCGGCAACCACATGTGACGACCCCGGGCTGGACTCCACGGTGAAAGCCGATCCGGCGATCCACAGCGCAAAGTTGATGTATTTCCTCAGCGACCAGCACGGATCAGCTCCAGGCATGACGAGGCAGATATCGTCCTCTTTTGGAAGGCCAAACAAAGTAGTTTCACAACGAAGCACACAGCGCCTTCACGACACGGCGGCAGAAACAACAATACTACAGTGAGAATAAAAGTTACGCCTTCTTTCTTTGCATGAACATTTGGGCGCCGTTATGCAAATCTTCCCACATAGTGATGTAGATATGTGGGGGCCTGATAGAACGAGCCGTTTTAGGTAAGCGTGGCTGACTCTTAACTTTTATAAAGAATATCTCTTTGAATTTGAGACTTTAGTCTTTGCAACTCTACAGATCTTCTTTATGCATCAAGAGCTTGTAACACTCCAAAGAGAAAGGAACAATTGAAATCGCATCATATGACCCCTTTACATAACCCAACAAAAACAATGTTGAAGAAATAGTGCATTGGCAACTAATTAAAACATGTTTAAGTTGAAGCACTGAAATTACTAAGCGGAAATAAAAACTAAAACTCTAATAAAAAATATACTACAAATTAAACAACTAAAAATATACATGAACGCATCTGTGATAGTATAAAAACAAAACTAAAACAGCATTGGCTCATATATCCATCCTTGTGACATCCATGAGTTCAAAAAGAGTTTGTATTTGTGATGCATTTCTCTGCATTTTTCTTCTTCTAGCTTCACCGCACTATTGTTGCATTTACTCTAACTTAAATTGAAATGTTAAAATGTTTCTCTTGAGGTTATACATCTCATATTACACTAATAGTGTGTAGAAAAAGATAATAAGACAGCCAAAGTGCATATAATTTCATATATTTTAATAGTTTCCTCTGGCTATAAAAAGCCAACATAAAAGCAAATGATTTAAGTTTGTAAATAACATGCTACATTTTCTCACATATGGGTATGCAAACATGAAAAGATATTGCTGTCTATTGTCATATTTGGAGGTTTCTGACAATAAAACGTTCCGTCTCCAGTAAATTATCTTTCAGTCTTCTGTTAGGAAGCATCACCATGAATGTTTCCACTGTTACCTGTCACAGAGTAAACACGGGACTGTTATGTGTTCAGATCCCTCCTCCATCGACTGCCATTGTTCATCATCACTGTCAGACAGCTCGGGTACATCATCCCCTACATCACAAGATACAATGACAAAATCCATAACTAATAAACACCTTCTAAACAGCTGGTGAGAACTATTGACAAAAATAACAGAGTTATACCATTAATTGTGCCATTTGAAAATGCCTAACTGCAGTAAGATTAAAATACACTATCCAGCTCGCTAGATTAACGCAGTTTAAATCGCATCATAGGTTAAAGCAAATATGTGCATCACATTTAATACATTCACGTGTACCTGCGTACGCTGCCATGTTGTAGTCTCTTGTCTTGAGCTCGCGTTTTACTCATCCGGGTCATTCTTATTTTGGTGTACTTCGCTTTTGTCGCCATGTGAGGTCGCTGTTTCTTTATTAATCGCAGTAACCGTGAGCCTTATGCCGTTAATAAAATACCCGAGTTTATTTTTGTTTCCTTTGTGTTTATTGTATTTCTGCATCTTAACAAAACAAAAAAAGTCGTTTATGTAATTCTAGAATAACGCACTAGGCCTACCTACTATAGTCAAGACTTTGGACTCACTATATTATTGTAAGGCTTACAGTAATACTATATATATTGTATGGCTAGTGTGTGAATTACTATTGTCACTTTTCTGTGTGGAATTTATTTACAAAGCTAAATTTTTATTGAATTTTTTTTAAGGATAAGTTAGTTAAGAAAGAAAGCAAGAGTCAAGCACACATGTAAAATCTCCCGATGCATGGTTAAACGCATTACAGAATCATAAAGTTTGAACATAACATAATATATAGCAGCTGCCAAGTTCAAAAATTAATATTCTGAATGCAGTTGAACTGTATAGCTGCTGAACAGCTTCTGTGCCTTATAATGTGTCGTAAGTTTATTACAGAAAATAAATGCTTTTGTCTTTCAGTTGTGACTAAAGAGGTGACCGTTTTAATCCACTTTTCAGATATTACACACAAAATAATATTACTATATACACAATAGTTGTTGTCAACTATGAATATCATTTATTTTTCCTGAGCAATATAAAATTACATAACAAAAAAGCACCAGAACCCAAAAATAACGCATACAGAAACACAGCACATACTAAATTAGTGTCAAGCAGTACTATATTTTGAATATGTTTTTAAAATACTTAATATGATAACTGCTTCCAAGTAAACTGCATTATAATTTTGGATTATCCTGCTGAAGAATCACACCACGCCAGAATTGCACTTAAGTAAAAAAAATTGAAAATAAAAGTCTTATTTTTTGGCTCCAATTTTTCCAAAATTGCATATGGCCTTGTTTTCAAGAATTTCCACTTTCTTTTCTCCATCTTTAAGCGTGTTGACAACCATAGCTCTGGCCACTGTTGTGATGGAAATAGACATTGTAGTGAAAACAGAGGAGAATGCACCAAGAAATTTCTGGGCCACCCATTCAGCTGGCCTGCTCTCCTCTCTGTCCACTAAGAGCACCCTAGAAAAAAAAAAAAAACAATCACACAATCACATGAAATGATGATTTAGAAATAACTGGAAAAGCAGACATGCACAACACAAAGATGTATGACCTCAGACTATACACAGAGTAAGAAATATAAGAAATCACAACAGATTTTATTCCTTGATTCAGTATTTTTAGAACAAAAAAAGCAGCAGGACTCACGCTGGTCGATAGGCGGAGAAACGCTCAAACCCAAGGTCTTCAATTTCGGCTTCAACCTGTCCCTGTAAATACACCAGTGTTGGATTGGACAAAGATTGGCTTGAATGACATGAAAATACAAGCTTATTTGCTCTGTAAATCAAATAAGCCATATCATTTTAACAGGGTTTTATAATACCTTAGTCTTCAGGTAGAGAAAGCTGCTGGTTTTGTCTGCACCTTTTTGGAGGATTCGAGGTGAAAATGTGAGCAGCCTCCTGCTTTGGCAAGTTCTGCAGACTTGAGTACGTAGTCATGATCCACCCGCACAAACCCTTCCTGTAAGCCCACACAAAATGTACAGTATGTACAAAGGGTTATGTTTTTTTGTATGCAATTAACAAACTTTACCACAAAAAATGAACATGAAAATTTAAACTTGCAAAGGGTTCCCCACAAATGCATCGTTTACTAAAAACAGAAAGTTATTTTCTTTAAAAAATGTTTTGTTCATCAGCTGCTAAAGTGTCCTTTACTTGCATAGCCAATAGAGTTTTAGTTTGCATTTATTTTATGTCTCACCATGAAAAACATTTTTATTATATGAATAGTCGGAAGGAGGGACTTTATAGAAAACGACGTGTTTGAGAGAGGTGGGGCATAGAGGACCTACAATAATGTACAGTATTTGAAAAAATAATGTGTTTTTTGAACATTAAAGCATGTCAACATATTCTATTACACCAAATACACCAAATAATGATCTTTAAAAAAGCATCATATGACCCCTTTAATTAATCTTAATGACTTGTAATTAAGTTTTTATATTGCAACAAAGCAATGGACAATCAAACATTTTGGCAACAAGCCTTCTTCAGTGAATCATATGGTATGATTCACTGAAGAAGGCTTGTCATTAAGAAGATACAGCGAGTGCAGATCTTTTATCTGAAAGTAATGTTACTGATCGATCTATGCACCCAAAACTAAAGTTGAGCGCAGTGATTTTTATTTTTTCTGTGAGTGTTATACAAATATTGAGGGGGAAAAAAAACGTTTTCTTATATTTCTAAAGTTGAAATAACTAAGGTTCAGCAGAAAATCCTTCATGCATTTATACAGTTCACAAAATGATCACATCTGAAACATACAGCTCCTGCTTTGGCCTTGGTTGTTCCTAGACAGCAGTATCCAACATCATGGCCATGAAAAGCCTCAGCGTATTCGTCTAGCTTCTCAAAATCAACCACCTTTTGCACCTGACGAGAACAGTAAACAGTCAGAATAATATCATGATCAAAAAAAATGTTATGCATTGCATTAAACAACAAAATATTAAACCTTGTGCTGTGCTGTCATTCTTTAAAAGGATAGTTCACCCAGAAATGAAAATTCAGTCTATGGAAGTCAATGGTTACCATCAACATTGGTTACCAACATTTTATTTCAAAAGAAGAAAGAAATTCATACAGGTTTGACGTTTGGGACAACTTGAGAGTGAGTAAATATTGACTGAATTTTCATTTTTGGGTGAGCTCCCCCTTTAAGCCACTTGATTTAATATTTGGTATGCAATGAAATTCATACATTTTTAAGCGTGAATAAGTGTCCAAACTAATTATGGGGTACTGTACATGGACACAATAACATTCTCAGACTTGACACATTACCAGATTTTCATAGGCTTTATCCTCAAAGGTTAACTGCCTTCGTCCAATGAGAGTGATCTTGGAGAAGATGTTGCGCTCGACTATTTCCTTCAGCAGGGCCTTCCCAGTCTCACCGGAAGCGCCGAGAATGAAGCACGTTCTGTTCTTCTGCCGGTAATGCTCCTCCATCGCGTTCAGATCCATTCTGTAATGAAGAAATGAGTGCATAAGCAACCGTTTGAATCTCGCAACATCACCATGACGGTGCAGAATCTGCACAGGTGTACTAAAATAAACAGGTGTATTATTCGTAATAACTGCTTCATGACAGGTTGATTGTCTACTGTAATATCTGTAATACAGGTCTGGAATTGTTGAAATCCATTAATGCCAGTATTTGGTACCTGGCATGCTAATGTAAATCCGCTTCAGAAATCTCTATCAAATGATTTTTAAACATCCTTATCCAGTAGGCTATATATAATTACAATCAACTGTGATTTCATTGTCCATGCTGAGAACAGTATCGATTAGGGCCTACCACGTGACAATACAGTCGGTTCCAGCAAAGGCGTTGTTTGTTGACCCGACCTGAACGAACTCGAGAAATATTATAAGCAAATTTACTGAACTGAATTATTGCATTCAGCTACGTCCAGTCGACTTAATTCATGCATGTTTTGACAATTTTTAATTGTAGTTATTTTATTCTTTATTTTATTCTTTATCTCTCTGATTCAAATTCTCCCTCTGTATTTTTTTAATATTTGATGATGTTATTTACCTAAATACAATAACGAGGGAAAATTGGTGTGGTCGTTCATAGACAGAATCAAAAAGAGCACGTACTGCAGAAAAAGCATATTGCCAGCACAGGCAGGACAAATCAACAATATACTAACCATTATTGCATAGTAGGATACATAGTAGGTTAATAGAAGTGTCTGTAATGAATACTTCACCTTGGGATCTCGTCAGTCTCTGAATTCTCCAGATAATTAAAAACAGCAGCGAGAGCCACAACAAAAACAATGAAGAAGCTTAAGGTTTTACCCCAGTTACTATCAAATATATTCATGCCAAGCTCGATAAACAGAGGACTGAGATAGTTGATAGTTGATACGCTGGAGCTTCTTCCTGTTATAGCGTCCACTGTTTCACACTGCGCTTGCGCAGAACGCCTGCATAGAATGCTGTGTTACAGCTGTTTTGAAAAGCATATGCACGAGCACGACTGCATTTGGTTTTACTGGCACTTGAATCACGCCAGAGCGTGAAAGTCATCACTTAGTACTGTGGCAGTGCAAATTAATACCTCTCAAAACAAAGCAACAAAAAAAAAAGCTGTGCTCAGGTTGCTGCTTATGTGGTCGTGGTGGTGGTGGTAAATAATATATAATTGCACAAATAAACAATTTATAGTTTTTTTCTGTAAACAGGGGTTGATGTTCAGGAATGTGAAAGTAACACATTAAAAAAAAACATAAATAATAAATTTTTTGAAAAATAAGGAAAGAAACAAAAGAACATTCACTGTTGTTTACAAACCAAAAAAGAAAAAAGAAAAACAAAATAACGGAAAAGAGCATCCACCCATTCAAAAATCCACTCAATAAAGTATCTGTTAAGTTACAGTATATAAAATCTTTACACTTTACTGTGTTTACAGTCTTTGATTGTAGCAACTACAACAATACTGACCATGTAAACCAGTGCTCGCCAACCCGTCGATCTTTATCACTGTCCCAGCAGATCCCGAAAAAACAGTAAAATAAGTATAAAAATGCATTACATTTATGGGGTTATATTAATGTATCACTGAAGGGAACTGTCTTGAGAAAAGTTTCGATGGCAATGGCATTTTCTTCTCCTCCGTATAAAGCGCGGCTTTACCGCATCCCAAACAAGGATGCGGTCGGTTCATTAGCAGTGTTGCCAAGTCCGCTGTTTTCCCGCGGAATTGGGCTACTTAACACTGTTGCCGCGGGTTGTTGTTCATGTCCGCGGGCTGACGCGACCCCAATAACGGGATATTTAGTCCCTGGAATGTGAATTTTACTTGAAGATCCCCGCCGAAAAACGTGTATTTTACCCCCGGAATGCGATTTTTACAGGGGAACCCTCCTCGAAACGCGATTGGACTAGTTTTGTTGCGAAAACCTGGCAACCCTGTTCATTGGCGCCACCTGCTGTCAGAGAGTGCGTCTCATTCAGACCTGCTGTGTTTGTTTCGTGCAGATGTTTTATGCAGCAAATAAATAAATAACACCTAAAGTCAGACCATTCTGTTTTTGTTTTAAATCCTGAAATTAATCTAAATCAAATCAAAAACAACTGCCCGTGCAGCTCATGATTAAAATGCAGTGGGTGCCTCTAATTTCAAATGGCTAGATATTTTTGTTTAAAGCCAGTTTGTTTGTTATAAAGCAAATAGCCAATAAATACATCTGCTTAAAAATCAGTATCAGTATCCAATTTGCTAGTTTAAAAAAAAAAGAAAAGAAAGAAAAGAAAATCTGAATTCTGAATCAGCTATGATCGGCGCATCACTAATTAAAATACTAAGTAAAATGCCTCAAATTTGAAGTACAATCTGGGATGTCTTTTTCTATCAATTCTTCAATAGGTAGATCTCGTCTTTCATAAAGGCCGAGGTCAGGGATCTTGGGCCTAAAAAGGTTGGTGACCACTGCTTTAAGGCATCAAAAAGCGTTCCGTATAAAAGCTAAACGGAACGATGTTTGTCCCGCATTCGCAGGCATACGCCGTATGACCACCATATGACCACCAGACCATACGAATAACAAATTCTCAATTGATAAGTGATCATTCTTTTTGTGCAAATCATTGTTTCATTTGCGAACATAGCCTTTCGAGGAAGGCTTTGAGACCAAGCGGAATCCTCTGCCGGCCGCTTCACAGCGAGCAGGGCTCACGCCGTCCGTGTTTTGATTTTGGCAAATCAGTTTGAGTGAATGCAAGCAACATGATTATTGATCATGAGCACAACATCCAGCTAGG